AAAATTTTGTGTAATTAAATTTTAATTCAAATGTATCAAGTTGGTGTATCATGCTTAATGAGATGACCAATATAAGTATATGCAAAACTACTATTACTAAATGCTATATAATAGTAAAGAGAAACACAGTCATTGCCATCCTAGATTCTGGAGCTATGAAAAGTATAATTACCGATAGACTAAGGAGAAAATTAAAATTAGATATAGACACTTCTTCAAGTTGTCATAGTCATAGCCAACGGGCAAAAAGAAAGAGCATTGGGCCAAATTAACAATGCTAAGTTAGCTATACACAATGTAATTATATCTACCTAGCTTCAAATAATAGAGTCCTCTAATAAGACTCTCCTTTTAGAAACTGATTGGTTCAAAAAAGTACAAGCTCAATAGGACTTTAACACTAGAATCTCAAAAGTTTGATACAATAGACAAGAAACAGTTATATCCACCACCTATTTAAATAACCAAACACTGCTAAATGATAATGAAGGCAATGCAAAGGATATAGATGACTTGATAGATGAACTTGAGTTCGAGGAAAAGAGTTGAAATTAGGAACTTATTATTTAAAAGAAATAGAATTAGATAATGGGGAAGAAGAAAAAATAGTAATTAGAGATAACAACTTACTATTTACTTAACCAAAGTAGACTCTATAAGTATAAGAGTGGAAAATAACTTAGAACATTTAAATGAAAAAGAGAAAGCAGTTATGAAATATTTATTAGACATTAATAAGAATAGTTTCACAAAAAATATAGCTGAAAAAGGCCAAACTCTAGGATTAAATTGTACTAATTTAACCTAATACAAAATTTATATTAGTATAGCCAAGCTAGTCAAGTAGACTTATTATTATATCTCTAAAGACAAACAAGAATTTTTGTTAAAAGAAATCATAGCCATGGAGGAAAAAAGAGTAATTAGGAAATATAAGAGTAGCTTCTGGTCGTCTTTCGTTATCATAGTATAGTACCCAAGAAGAATAGTAAAAAATGATTATACATTGATTATAGAAAGTTGAATAGTATAACTGAAAAGAATACTTATTCTTTATCTTTAATTAAGGAAGTTTTAGAGTTCTTCCAAGGTGCCCAATAGTTCTCTAGTTTAGACTTGGCCAGTGATTACTGGCAAGTTTCTATGAAAGAAGAAGATGAAAAAAAAGGCATTTATAATCAAATTTGGCAATTACAAGTTTAATATAATGCCATTTGAGTTGTATAATGCTCCTGCGACTTTTCAAAAACTTATAAATAAAGTCTTACAAGATTATAAAGAAATTTTGTTATAGTGTATCTCGAAGATATTACCATCTATTCAAAAATATTTGAGAAATATGTCTAACATCTAAAAGCTATTTTTGCTGCTTTAGCCAAAGCAAAACTCAAGTTAAACAAGAAAAAGTGTAAGTTTTCCTTTTTAAAAATCAAATTTCTAGACTATATAGCAAATAAGACAGATATTCTACCTAATGAAGACAAGGTCTTAAAGGTTAAAAATTACTTTATACCCATCAACTTATGGCAACTAAGAGGGTTCTTAGGCCTAGCTTCCTATTACAGAACCCCAAAATATATATAGAGAGGTAAAGTTTTACAAAAATTACTAAATTTAGAAAAATCTGTAGAAAAAAAGTCAAAATAAGCAAACTAATTACTATAAATAGAAATAATCTGCACAAAAAGAATCAAAAATAAACAAACTAAAACCTTACCTTTATATATATATTTTAGGATCCTTCTATTACTATAGGCTTATTAAGGACTTTTCTAAGTTAGCCTAGCTTCTACACAATCTGTTAAAGAAAAATAAAGCATATGAGTAAAATAAGAGCCAACAAGAAGTCTTTAAATTATTAAAACAAAAATTAACTACTACTCTGGTCCTTCGGTACTTAGACTTTTCTAAGCTATTTCACCTATATACTGATACTTCGGGTATTGAACTAGAAGCTGTACTAGCCCAAATGACTGACGACAAGAAAAAGTATATTGTGGTATACGCAAGTAGAAGTTTCACCGAAGCCAAGAAGAATTACCACGTAATCGAGCTAGAGTGTCTAGCCATAGTGTGGGCCATAGGATATTTCTATTAGTATCTAGATACTGCTTACTTCAACTTGATTACCAACCATTCAGCTCTTAAGTGGCTTAGAACTTCAGAGCTAAAGAATAGGCATGCTAGATGAATACTTCATTTAAAGCTCTATAATTTTACAATTCTTTATATGGCTGGTAAGAAATATAACAACACTAATATATTGCCAAGACTTTACAACCTTGAAAATGAAGTTGAAGTAAAACATTAGAAGCCAAACCAAAAGCAGTAAAAGTTGAACTAAGTAAAAAAGAGAAGGTAATCCAAAAACTTATTTCAAAAAATAAAGAAAAAATGGAGTTATCTAAGATAAGCACTCTTTATATTAAGAACTTTAAATATATAGGTCAATGTGTTTATTATAGTAATACCTATTATGTGTATAATTATAAAAAGTTAGATGTTGGAGATAGAAAACAATTTTAAGCTCACAGAAAAAGGCACAGAGATAATAGACCTATTAAAAGAAAAACAAATAAGAAGCTACGTTCAAGAAAAAAAAGATGGGTTTGTTTGTCTTAAAGCAACTATTAGATAATGAAGGCCTTAATCTGTTTACATGGAAACAGATTAAGAAATGCAAAAGATTAAAAGCCGCAAGCAAGATGCCAATTTGGTTTGCAAAAATTGAAGATGAAGTCCTCGAAGATAAAACTAGCCGAAGAATCAAATTCAGCTTCCAGTCCAAGTCGTTAAACAGTCTAAGCCTGAGAATAATACCAGATGTAATAAGCATGGATAAAAGAAGAAAAGACTGGATCTTAATGAAGACTAAAGGCAAATTAGAAATTGGCAAAATAGTAGGGAAAAAAGGCAGAAAGACCTATACAGTAGAGCATTGGACCCTAACAGATGACCAGGTTAGCAA